GGGCCAGTGTGAGAATCCAGGGCCATCCGACAAGGCGGGGGGCGGGCAGGGGCAGGGAGAGGACAGGCGGGCCCCAGAGGCACCCTCTAGTGAAAAGGGCTGCCTGGGGAAAGAAGGGGGGCGGGTCCCGGATAGTGTGGAGCCTCGGGTTTGTTTGATGGATGGAGAGGGACCAGGCACAGGACAGGCTGGCTGGGAGGGGTGAGCTGGATTAGGCTGGCTTTAGTCCAGAGTGTCTGTGGGCTTCTGGGAGCAAGTCCAGGAAGCAGCTGGAAGTGCGGGCTCTACTGAGAAGCAGTGAGGGCCAGGGCGGCTGTCGTGGCGGCGTTTGCACAGGAGGAAGGGCCGCCCCAGAATCGCAGCCTGGGTCCGGGGCCCATGAAGTCTGTATGTTCAAACCGAGGGACCCGCAAAGGGGCAGCCCCTTTCTGTCTCCTCAGATCAACTGCCTTCCTGGGGACCGGTGCTCTCCTCGGGGCCTTGCAGCCACCCCCCGGCTGCAGAACCTTCAAGCCCAAACGGCTGCTCTGTGCAGGGACCATCTCCCGCCATCTTCCCGATCCCCCAACAGCAGGGATTCCCTGTCATCTGCTTGGAACCCCGTTTATTGGGCAGAGACTGTGTGCAGGCCCAGTGCCCAAACTTCTCAGCTTTTCCCTCCCCGATCCTCACAACGGCCCGGGGAGGGGCGCGTATGATCCTCCCCATTTTCCAGGCGAAGGAACCAGCTGAGGCTTCCAGGCCCTGGCCGTGGGTGGTGGGTGGGTCTGTCCGCTCGCTCGGTGGGAGCCACCAGGCTGCGTGTGACCTGGGCAGGCGTGGCAGCTCCCTGAGCCTCATCTGGCAAGAGCCACCAGCTCCCCCACCACGCGCCTCTCACCCCTGACTTCAGGTGAGAGGGACCCCAGCTCCCAGGACTTTCCCAGCACCCCCACCCGCCCCCTCCTGTTCCTCCCGCCAGCCTTCTTGGGAACAGCCGGGCTCAGGCTGTGCTCCTGGCAGCGCTGCCACCTGGGCTTGGTCCGGGGGTGTCCCCAGCGGTGAGAGGGGCGGGCAGAAGCTGGGATCAGTTGGGCTAAGATGCTGGGCATCCAGAGATCCCCAGGCCCCCATCTCAGGGTCCATGTGTTCCAGGCTGGGGTAGGCAGGGCCCTTTGGAAAAGGGTGGCTTGAGGTTTTAATCACTTTATCAATGTTTGTTTTTGTAATTCAGCCCCGAGTTGCTTTTCCCTCCATCTGTCCCCACCATCTGCTCCCATCAGGATTTTCCAAACCATTTGGAACCAAAGAGGGAGGGTGGGGGCTGGGCCTCCGAGGGGGGGAGAAGGGACTACCTCTACTTCCCTCCCTGCGAGGCTTCGGGGGCGGGAGCGGGTGCCAGGCTCCTGAGTCAGACAGAACTGAGTTCAAATGCTGACACGGTCACTTTCTTGCTGCACTACCTCAGGCAGGTGACTTCGCTTCTCTGAAGCCTCAGTCTCCGCATCTGTAAAATGGCAGTGATATTAGTGACGCCTCAGGCTTAGTGCCGAGCCAATGGGGTGACATGTACAGTAGGGGCTGAGCCTAGGAGCCTAAAGCACGCCGCGTGCAGTAGGTGCTCGGAGCTACGCGGTCCCCTCTCCACGCACGACCCACTGCTTCTCTCTCTGGCATCCAGGGAGCTGGCCTGATCCTCTCGGTCTGGGGAAGGGCAGCTACTCTGCATTTGTCTTTTGGCTGCTCAGCTCCTCACTGGCCAGATGCTGGGACTTGCCCTCTCTTGTCTCCCATGGCCACGCCCACGGCTCCACCCCCTGCGTCTACCCTAAGACAGGCCTCCTCTTCCTCCTAGATGCCTCAGATTGGGGTGCGAGGGGCTGAGTGTCAGCAAGGACACCCACATTCCCACCCCCACCAAAGGCCTTCATAGTCGGCACGCTGGCAGGGTTCCAGGGCCACTGGGGCCTCACCTGTGAGTGCTCATGCCCAGAATCCCAGGCCGAGGGCCGGCGAGGCCGTGCGTGAGGCCTGCCTGTCATGCCCTGGTCTGGGGAACGCCAGGCACCCAGCTGACCTGTCTCACCTTCCTGCTCAGAAAGGGGAAGATACCCGGGCCTCTGCCGACTGCCCCTCTGCCCCCCTTTCTGGGCGATATCTCAGGGCATGAGGTCTTGGGCCAAGGGCCTTAGTGTGCATTTGCGGGGGGGGGGACCCCAAGTCTTCCCCCTTTGCTCACAGAAGCCTCCCAGAGCTTCTTAGGAGGGAGAAGTGGCTGATGGGAAGTAACCAGCAGAGCTTACCAGGGCCCAAACTCTACCCCTAGGTCCACCTACTCACTTGAGGTGCAGGGAAAGCCAAACAGAAGTGGGGTACGCAGCGGGAGGGAAAACCACGGTCCTGCCTTCAGAAGCCCCACTGGGGAGGCAGGATGCAGACGGGGGTCCTGAGGGCAGGGCCTCAGTCAGCCTCACAGAGCAGGAAAATGGGGGGCTGGGAGAAGTGGGCTCCTAGGAGTCCAGCCCAGGAGAGATGCTGAGCTGAGGAGCCGCCTGGAGGAGGGAGGCTGGGCAGGGAAGTGGGAGGAGCAGAGTGGCTGAGCAGCCCCCGTGAGGGTAAACTGAGACCACAGGATGGGAGGGGACCTAGAGCGGAGGGGGAGATTCTGGCTTCAGGCAGGTGGAAGAGGAAGGGGGAGGTGGTGGGCCAGGAGAGGGCCTGAAGCAGTGACTGCAGGGCAGGCCCCTCTTCCTGCCCCGGCAGCAGGCCCTCCTGGCCTAGTGGGGAGAGGGGAGAGAGCCTGTCACTCAAAGGGCCTGAGGTGGGGGCTGAGCAGCAACTCTCTCCCCACCCCCAGGTCCTCACGCAGGAGGCAGCTGGGAACCACCCACACCTGTCTGGCGTCTCTCACACCTCCATCAGGGGGTCCCAACACGGGTGCCAAGGCACACAGAGGAGCTGGTGTTCCGAGGGCCCAGCTGCCCTCCTAGTCTTCCGCAGCCTGGCTCCCAGCTCAAGGAGAGGCTGGGACCACCTGAGCAGCGTGGCCTGGGAACCTGGAGCTTTGGTCTGAGCCCTGGGAGCCAGGATGGCCCAGGCAGCACCACAGAATTGGGAGGAGTTGTCCAGTCAGATGCAATGGGCCCGCCTTCTCAGTACCCCCGGGAACCAGCCCCTCTGTGCCACCCTGCTCATCCTTTACCCTGAGTTGGCCCCTTGCTGCCACCGTGGCTCCCAGTCCTCAAAGTCTGTTCTTGACAGAAGGCCTACGTAGGCTTGGTCTGGATGTCAGACCCTCTCACGGCTCAGAGCCCGGAGAGGTTCCCATCTCGTCCGGAATAAAACCTGAAGCCCTTGGCATGGTCCGGAGCACTGCCTGCCGCCCAGCCTCTGCACACCGACCCCCCCCTTCCCCCAAAACACGTACCCAATGCACTGTAGGCTTGACTTGTACACTGTGTCCATTGTTTTCTTTACATATGTTTTTACTGATTTCAGAGAGGAAGGGAGAGGGAGAGAGAGAGAGATAGAAACATCAGCGATGAGAGAGAATCATTCATTGATCTGCTGCCTCCTACACGCCCGCACTGGGAATCGAGCCCACAACCCAGGCATGTATGTGCCCTGACTAGGAATCGAACCGTGACCTCCTGGTTCTTAGGTTGATGCTCAACCTCCGAGCCACACAAGCCGGGCTAGTGTGTCCATTGTTTACTGTCCAGTCCTGTAACCCCTCTGCCTAGAACAGTGCTGGGCACAGACTTAGCGCTTGATAAATATGTGCAACGAGTGATTGAGGGCACATGGATCCAATTCCAAACCTTCCATCACTACTGTCAGACACTGGAAAAATCATGTAACCCCTTTGAACCTCAGTTTCTTCATCTGTGAAGTGGGGGCACGAAGGACCGCCTTCTAGAGATGGAGAAAGGACAACATTCGAGCTCAGGATATAGGGATGGCTGCTGAGCGGGGCCTATGCACCCCAGAACCCGCCAAGCTGAGCTGGATGGTCCCAGCCCCCACAGCAGAGGCTGGGTGGGAGGCAGGCGGCTTCCTTGACGGGGAGGTGCGGGGGAGGAGCACGTTAGATCAATGTGGGAGGGTGGGATTAATTCTGAGAAGATCTGGAGTGTCAGGCGGGATATGGGGGTGCACTCTGTTCTCTAAGGCGGAGGTGGGGTAGCGGGCGTGCCTGCCCCCCAAAACCTCAAGGACTGAAGGAGTGGGCGCTGCCCCTCCCGGAAGAACCCTCAGCTCAGTTCCGGAGTGGAGGCGCGCGGCAGCAGGGCAATTAGCGCCCCACTAGGATCCGGATTCGACGTGCGGCTCCGCGCCAGGTAGGGATGGGGGGCCTGGCAGTGACGGGGTGGGGTAGTGGGGTGCTTGGGCGTAGGAAAGAGGTGTCTGGGCACTGACCTCTGGCCACTCAGTCGGGCTGCCTGAATCGAGATGCTCAAGAGATGGGACCTCGGTCCTGCTCCCCCGGCGGGTGCTCCCTCGCGCGGGGGGGCGGGGAAGTGAGGGGGTCTCCTTCTCTCTCGGGGCAGGGGAGGGGGCGGGGGCTCGTCCATCGCCTCCTTAACCCCCAGGGCTGGAGTGGGAAGGGAGAAGCCGGGACCCCCACCCCAGGGGAGGGCCCGGGCAAAGGCTGG